ATACGTTGTTCAAAATACAACTAGAAAAGCGTCAGAAATCGTGAACCTTTGACATACCTTCAGCTTCCTGAAGTTTAATTATACTTCATTGTGTTTGACAATGTTGTAGTGTTTGATGGCTGCAGACAACGGCATTTATTACGTTATCCGTGAAAATCTCATGGGGTTAGGGTTACAATATATTTTGATTATTATTCAGGATAGGATGGACCCTAATTACTGCGCGTAATCAGTGATTTTAAATATATATTTATAAATTTGTACCAACAATGTAAATTGGGCTTTAAACTTTAAATAATATATTTGTTTATAAATAAAATGTTATACAATACCATTGTACTTGTAATAACGGTACAATTTACGTCAGCGTGAGGAAGCCGCTTCCGTCCTTGGAGGATTAATAACGGTGCTTTCTTTTTCTGCAAGATGTTACTTCCGGCAGCGGCAGCTACTTTTGGCAGTAACAGTTGTTACAATGGGTCTAGTAACGTTTCAAGTGACGTAGTCTAGCCCTGGCAACCAGCCTGAAGCTTCCTAACTCTTGACTCTGTGTGAAGCCTATAATATGGCAAAAAAAAAATTATCACATTTTACATTTACATTTTAGGTGATTTTTGTAACGTTCTCTTAGTAATAATCGCTGAATTATTATGGTATATAGTTTGGCAAGTCACCGTCTAGGACTTACTGTCATCCCCAGCGCATTCTCACCTCTCCAGTGCTGGCCAGATCCAACGGTGCTTAACCGAGTGAGGCGCAGATGATCTACTACGCCGCGCCATTGGACAATCAATCATAATAATAATCCAGTGAGGAGGGCGCCTGTCTTTCAAGTTACTCTGACAGAACTTGGCAAGTATTCCGTCAAATGTTCGCCTGAGCAAAGTTATCGCAATATTTTGGAATGATTTTGATGTTAATATATATTTTTGTTTATTTTGCCCCGAGGGGCGAGTTTATTGGGCAGCGCCATTCATCTTGTGAGTGGACACACCGCCATTGCAGCATGTACAACACTCCCCAAAAGGAAGAAAACCCGCTGGGTTGTTCATCCTGTCACTGGTACCCAGACACAGCTGGGACCTGCTTAACTGTCTCATGTGAACAGCTCCTCAAATAAGAAGATTATATGCAAATATTTATGAATTGAAAACCATCAACACACAGGAAAAGTATAGAATGATCGAAAATTGTATTTGTAAAGAATAAGAGTGATTATGCTACTGGGTAGATTTCTGTCATTTATAAACAAATTTAGTTATATAAAGCTCTACGCTCAGTGTAATTAAGTGGAATTGTGTTGTTGTGTTTGTAATAAACAGTTACATGCACAGTAATTATAATTACGGTAATTATGAAAGAACAGATATGCAATATATAGACAATGAGAACAATAGTGGAGATAAACACAGAGGCTGGATGAACCATAAATAGATTCACAACACAATTGTACATTGAATTTACTTAACTTCTATAACTTAACATTTACGTTATAGATGTTTCTTTCAAAATTGTTAGTAGAAGTCACTACAGTAGAGTCAGAAGACTCGTCCTTCCCAGCAGGTGTAAACTATGTATTATTGTCTGTCTTGGAAATGTATATGTGGGGGTGAATTGATTAGAAATAATAAAAAATAAAGCAGCTCCTTGTGGAGCGAAAGTACTCAAAAATTATTTTCATATTTCGCTATTTTCTTGCATTTTGGGTTCACATGTTCTGTGACATTTTGCACATACACACTCCTAGATACCTATATTTACTGCTAGGTGAAGAGAAGTATCAGGCGTAAGAAAGCACCTGTGTGAGTCGCAGATGTAATGTGTGCATGACCAGCTATGGTTCAGTGATTACCTTGTCACTGTGGTTGATACCTGATCAACCAGGCTGTGACTCATACGTCAGGCTGCGAGCAACCGCGTCCAACAGCCTGGTTGACCAGTCCAGTAACGAGGACCGGGCCGTGGGGACGCTAAGCCCCGAAATCATCTCAAGATAACTTCGAGATAAGAAAATAAGAGAGATGATTTCGGGGCTTAGCGTCCCCGCGGTCCGGTCCTCGACCAGGCCTCCTCTTTGTTACACATCCCCAGGAAGAAGCCCGTAGCAGCTGTCTAACTCCCAGGTACCTATTTACTGCTAGGTAACAGGGGCATCAAACTTCGATTGATTGATGAAGATTAAGCCACCCTAGAGGTGGCATGGGCATGAATAGCCCATAAAGAGAGAACATTTCGCTGTTGTTGATGTTTAAGATTCAGCTACTGGGAACAAAAAGTTCCAAGTAGCACGGGCTATGGTGAGCCCGTAGTGGACTTACCAGGCACAGGAGCGGGGCTGTAACTTGAACACACTTCACTTGGTTGGGATCCTTTATAGTGGAGCAAATATATTATGTAATTTGTAGTTTTTCCTGTAATTAAAGAAGAGGTATTAGTGGCTCAAGTAGACTCAACAAACCCATCTCATTAAGCTATTGAGAGTTTGGAGCGAGAGTATTATTGACATAATATACCCGCTTCAATAGCATTGTAAATGGTATACGGAATCCTATCCTCTCCATAAAATAAACAAAATAAATAAGTATCTCTCAAAATAAATGATCTCTCAAATTTCACATACACGGAGAAAATAAGCGAATGTAATGCTTGTTTTGAACGAATCGTAGGCTTACAATTACTGTTATTATTAGGTTCAATTCAAGTTCAAGTATGTTTATTGAGATAAGCAATAAATACATCTCAAAGGGATAGAGTAGCTTAGGCTATTTCTACCCCCCAATTTATTATTAGGGGTTGTAATGTATTCCCAGCAGGAGTTCCCATGCTCCCACATAATGCTGTCTCCACCTCCCCAGGCGTACACCACCCACCCTGACTATCCTGCCATTGAAATATTGCCCCGTATAAGCGTTCACTTCCGCTGTCTGCTCCCAGGTATAATAGCCTCATTGTCTGCAGAATTGCGTAGCCTACCGAGCGAGCCAAATTGTCCCTTAAAGTTCCCAACTATACATGCCTATACTATACTATATATTAAAGTTAAATTATACTATACTATATATTACTATACTATAATATACTATTATATTATACAACTATACTATATATTAAAGTTCCCAACTATACATGCCTGAGAAAAACTTGCCTAAAATACATAAATTTCTTGAAAACTAAATTATTAGTCGATTGAGCAAATTTATTTATGTCAGCAATTCATGAGTGATAAATTACATCAAGGTTGGAAGAATCAAGAATCATGATCATTATGGACAATGAAGTTCAATAGTGTATTTAAGGAACTGGATTTATGCAGATTAATGAAACTAAATTTATGCATTATTATTAGGCAATTACGTTTATTGTTTGTTACATGTGCACGGACTCTAATTAATATGTGAAGAATTTATCTATAGAAATATAGCCCTCTAAATACATTTGTCACTCAGGCTATATTAATTATGCATTCCATAAATTTTAATGTATAAATTGCCTACATTACAAAAATATTCCATATGTAACGATTGAGAGGGAGAGAGAGACAACTATTCAGTAGCAAATATACTCATGATCAGAAGCAATTTTACTATGAATAATACATTTCTTTGCAGATAAATATGTTAAAAAAGTCATCATATATATTATAACTGAATGGAATATGTAACGAGTATGCAATAAATTATATGGGTTCTGTGTCAAGCTAAAATTATGCATTATAATTCATTATACGTCTCGTGTAAATTCCTTTGACCATTACGCTAGAGGCACTATGAAGAGGCCCTGTGGCACCGCATGGCGGGTGAGAGGCACTATGGCACCGCATGGCGGGTGAGAGGCCCTGTGGCACCGCATGGCGGGTGAGAGGCTCTGTGGCACCGCATGGCGGGTGAGAGGCTCCTGTGGCACCGCATGGCGGGTGAGAGGCTCTGTGGCACCGCATGGCGGGTGAGAGGCTCTGTGGCATCGCATGGCGGGTGAGAGGCTCTGTGGCACCGCATGGCGGGTGAGAGGCTCTGTGGCACCGCATGTCGGGTGAGAGGCTCTGTGGCACCGCATGTCGGGTGAGAGGCTCTGTGGCACCGCATGGCGGGTGAGAGGCTCCTGTGGCACCGCGTGGCGGGTGAGAGGCCCCTGTGGCACCGCATGGCGGGTGAGAGGCTCTGTGGCACCGCATGTCGGGTGAGAGGCTCTGTGGCACCGCATGTCGGGTGAGAGGCTCTGTGGCACCGCATGTCGGGTGAGAGGCTCTGTGGCACCGCATGGCGGGTGAGAGGCTCCTGTGGCACCGAGTGGCGGGTGAGAGGCCCCTATGGCACCGCATGGCGGGTGAGAGGCTCTGTGGCACCGCATGTCGGGTGAGAGGCTCTGTGGCACCGCATGTCGGGTGAGAGGCTCTGTGGCACGGCATGGCGGGTGAGAGGCTCCTGTGGCACCGCATGGCGGGTGAGAGGCCCCTGTGGCACCGCATGGCGGGTGAGAGGCCCTGTGGCACCGCATGTCGGGTGAGTGGCACTATACCACCACACATGGCGGCTGAGAAGGACCGTGGCAGCTTGGCCTGGCACCGCTCGCTTAATGAGTGAGACTGGCACTGCCTGGCGGGTTAAAACACTGCCACAAAGTTTAGCGAGTGAGAGAGGCACTGTAGCACCGCTTGGCGAGTGAAAGAGCCACTATGGCACCGCTAAGCGAGTAAAAGAGCCACTGTGGCACCGCTTGGCGAGTGAGAGAGCCACTATGGCACCGCTTGGCCAAGTGACTTCAACTCGCCAGCGGAAAAGTTCATAGTTGGCGCGGCGGTCCTGCGAGCGGTCCGTCCCACCCTAGGACGCGGCCCATCGCCACCACTCTGCCACCTCTCCCTTATACCCACTCTTTTTACCCCCTTATCCCCCCCTAACCCATCAATCATACTTAAACTAGAGTTAAATAAATGGTGGAGTCAATTCTGTATATGGGTAGATTGATTTTTAGGGTCGTAGGGTGAGGTTTGGGTGTAGTTGAAGGGTAGAGGTGGCAGCGTGGGGCGGGCGGGTGTGGGGTGGGAAGGAGACACAACACACCATCAGAGACCCTAGAGTACCGGACAAGTGCACTCCCCACACTCTCACTCGGGATTATTCTTAACTCTCCAGCATCATGAGTCGATGGTAAGCTCTTCCCAAGGGGTGAGTGTGGCTAGCAGGGCCGCCCATCACGCTCTCACATGGGAGAGTTAAGGGAGAAGGGTGTGTGTGTGTGTTTTAACAAAGGGTGTTGTGGTGAGGGGGTGAGAGAGTGTGTTGCCACCACCCGCATACCGCCATATATACTTCTCTCTCTCTCTCACTCCTCTCTCACCACGTCTCCTGCTACGGCCCACATCAGGGGTGTAGGAGTGTGTGGTCCTACACCACACTTGGGTCCCCTAACGGGTGTAGGAGCGTGTATGATGATGAGTTCCTCTCAACATTCACTTATTGTGTTCTCCCTCAAGACCATATTTTGTCCCCTCTCCTGTTTGATACAACCCCCACACTCTCCCACAACCTCTCTCCCACACCCTCTCTCCCACAACCTCTCTCCCACACCCTCTCTCCCACACCCTCTCTCCCACAACCTCTCCCACAACCTCTCTCCCACACCCTCTCCCCCACACCCTCTCCCCCACACCCTCTCCCCCACACCCTCTCCCCCACACCCTCTCCCACAACCTCTCTCCCACAACCTCTCCCACAACCTCTCCCACAACCTCTCTCCCACAACCTCTCTCCCACAACCTCTCCCCCACAACCTCTCCCCCACAACCTCTCCCCCACAACCTCTCCCCCACAACCTCTCTCCCACAACCTCTCTCCCACAACCTCTCCCCCACAACCTCTCTCCCACAACCTCTCTCCCACAACCTCTCCCCCACAACCTCTCCCCCACAACCTCTCCCCCACAACCTCTCCCCCACAACCTCTCCCCCACAACCTCTCCCCCACAACCTCTCCCCCACAACCTCTCTCCCACAACCTCTCTCCCACAACCTCTCTCCCACAACCTCTCCCCCACAACCTCTCCCCTACAACCTCTCCCCTACAACCTCTCCCCCACAACCTCTCTCCCAAGCTCTCTTCCACCTCATATGTAGCCGTAAGAAGTCTCTTCAGTGTACGAGTTAAACTCGTTAATTATTGGTTTGCCGCGTGTTAATGACACGTGTAATTGTTTTCACGTTAATATAATTACTGCATGACGTGTGTTGACGTGTGTGGGGCAGCCAGACGTGGTTTTCAATGTTTTGTTTATTAGTTTGCATAATATTTATATTAACTGCAGTTCCTACCACTCGGTTCCTGCCATTTTTAGTGTTTGTCAGGTGGTCTGGGTAGTGTGTGGATGACTCCGGATGTGTGGCTGGGGGGGTGTGGATGACTCCGGATGTGTGGCTGGGTTGTGTGTGGATTACTCCAGATGTGTGGCTGGGTTGTGTGTGGATGACTCCAGATGTGTGGCTGGGTTGTGTGTGGGTGACTCCAGATGTGTGGCTGGGTAGTGTGTGGATGACTCTAGATGTGTGTGGATGACTCCGGATGTGTAGCTGGGTTGTGTGGGGATGACTCCAGATGTGTGGCTGGGTTGTGTGTGGGTGACTCCAGATGTGTGGCTGGGTAGTGTGGGGATGACTCCAGATGTGTGTGGATGACTCCGGATGTGTAGCTGGGTTGTGTGGGGATGACTCCAGATGTGTGGCTGGGTTGTGTGTGGATGACTCTAGATGTGTGGCTGGGTTGTGTGTGGATGACTCCAGATGTGTGGCTGGGTAGTGTGTGGATGACTCCAGATGTGTGGCTGGGTTGTGTGTGGATGACTCCAGATGTGTGGCTGGGTTGTGTGTGGATGACTCCGGATGTGTAGCTGGGTTGTGTGGGGATGACTCCAGATGTGTGGCTGGGTTGTGTGTGGATGACTCCAGATGTGTGGCTGGGTTGTGTGTGGATGACTCCAGATGTGTGGCTGGGTTGTGTGTGGATGACTCTGGATGTGTAGCTGGGTTGTGTGGGGATGACTCCAGATGTGTGGTTGGGTTGTGTGTGGATGACTCCAGATGTGTGGTTGGGTTGTGTGTGGATGACTCCAGATGTGTGGCTGGGTTGTGTGTGGATGACTCCAGATGTGTGGCTGGGTTGTGTGTGGGTGACTCCAGATGTGTGGCTGGGTAGTATGTAGGTGACTCCATATGTGTGGCTGGGTAGTATGTGGGTGACTCCAGATGTATGGCTCGGTTGTATGTGGATGACTCCAGATGTATGGCTCGGTTGTATGTGGATGACTCCAGATGTGTGGCTTGGTAGTATGTGGGTGACTCCATATGTGTGACTGGGTAATATGTGGATGACTCCATATCATATATGTGGGTGGCTCCATATGTGTGGCTGGGTAGTATGTGGATGACTCCAAATGTATGGCTCAGTTGTATGTGGATGACTCCAAATGTATGGCTCAGTTGTATGTGGATGACTCCAAATGTATGGCTCAGTTGTATGTGGATGACTCCAAATGTATGGCTCAGTTGTATGTGGATGACTCCAGATGTGTGGCTGGGTAGTATGCACTCACCTAGTTGTGCTTTTGGGGGTTGAGCTCTGGCTCTTTTGGCCCGCCTCTCACCTGTCAATTAACTTTTTTTTTATGTGGATGATTCCAGATGTGTGGCTGGGTAGTATGTACTCGCCTAGTTGTGCTTGTGGGGGTTGAGCTTCGGCTCTTTGATCCCGCCTCTCTCAACTGTCAAATCGACAGTGTGTGTGTGTGTAATTACATAAGTGCAATTAATATACATGCAGACAGACAGAGACAGAAAAATCTAGTTGATATCATGCCAAACCTGTTTCCTGATCCTGAAACCTACATCAAAAGAATATCATCAGTGGCATATGCAAGGCTGGCTAACATCACGACTGCTTTAGAAAATTGTATAAGGTTTCATTTTGAACCTTCTATACCACATTTGTAAGACCAATCTTGGAGTATGTTGCCCAAGTATTGAGTCCATACCTTGTCAAGCACAAGACGAAGTTGGTGAAAGTTCGGAGGTATGCCACTAGACTTGTCCCAGAACTAGAGGCATGAGTTACGAGGAAAGGCTACATGAATTGCACCTCACAATGCTGGAAGACAGAAGATCTCAGGGAGACATAGTCACTACATACAAAATTCTCAGGGGAATTGGCTGGGTAGATAAGGACAGATTATTTAACAAGGGTGGCACTCGCACAAGGAGTCACAGGTGGAATCTGAGTATCCAAATGAGCCACAAAGACATTAGAAAGAATTTTTTTAGCTTCAGAGTACAGTAGTTAATAAAATTAATGCATAGGAAGTGATGTGGTGGAGACTGACTCCATACACAGTTTCAAATGTAGATATGATAGAGCTCAATAAGCTCAGGAACCTTTACACCAGTGGGGTGACAGATGAGAGGCAGGACCAAAGAGCCGAAGCTCAACCCCAGCAAGCACAATTAGGTGAGTACAGGCTGGCTGCCTGTCCCCAGACACAGTGAATTATTATTAATAGCTTCCTAATTGTTGGGGACAGGAAGCCTGTTGGGCTTATCGAGGCTCCCCAAAGACCAAGGTCCAATGACTGACCCCACTCAGGATGCATTTTGTACTAGTTGCCTCAGCAAACTAAAAATATTGTAATATACACTGTATCTAAAAACTTAATACCAATACCCTGTATTCATTACATTACATCTAATTTATTTATTATTTTCAGGAGGAAAGATCCCTTGGAAGTGTGCGGGGGAAAACACATCAATGCCACATTGGAATTCCATGAATGTGTTTGCAAGTTTGACTACAGAAATCAGAGAAATTTCCACCATTTTCAGGCACAAAAGTTTAAGCACTGTTTATTAGCTGATGAGATGAGGCGGATTGATAATTTTGAGCTATATGTGATAATTGCTGTTGTAATTGGTGTAGTAATCATATTTGGCATTGCTGCATTTTGCTCTTGTAAATGGTACCTTCAGACCAATGACAATCCTTGTGGTTGTTTATCATGCATTTGTTGCAAAAAGAAGAAAAAGAAAAAGAAAATAGATTTAATTAATGAAGGTGAAGCTACACCTAACGTTGGCCTTGAAAATGGTAGCCAAGTTTGGACCCCAATACGTTTGGGGCCAAATAAGGATGTCGTGGATGGTAGTTTAGAATCCCAACATGTAACAAGTGAAAGAAGCAATGATGAAAGTGCAGGATTTTGTATGAAATTTTGTTTAAGTGATCCTGTTCAGGATTGCTGTGAGTTCTTTGACTGTGACATAATGTGGCGAAAAAAAAATATTTACACCATTCCAATATTTGGTCGGCGAAAGCAACCTCCCTTGCAGCGGAGGCCAACACGTCCTGCCCCGCCGCCTCCTAAGCCATCAGCACAAGTTCCTCCTATGTTGAAGCACCCAGAACCAATACATATTGGATATGATGACGATGTAGAGTGTGAACCTGTACCAGAAGCTCCACCATCACCAGAACCTGTACGGATTGAACAGCCTAGAGCCATGTATGTTGATCCCCTAGCCTTCTTGCAGAGACCTTTCTTAAAGTCTACTACCAAAGAAAAAGCACCTGACGAAGAACCAGAAGCTCTTTACAATAAAATGAAAGATTTTGTTTTTGGGAAGAATAAGAAGAGTTCAAGTGTAGCATCTCTTCACAAACTTGGAATTTCAACTAATCCAGATACAGTGAGTAATACATCAAGTAAGAAAAGCAAATACAGTAGGACTGGCAGTTTAGCATCTCTACATAATCTTAGTGATGAACAGCTTGACACCAGTTACCATAATAAGAGGTCAATGAGTTTGGCTTCTTTGCATGTAGAAGAATCTCCCAAAAGAATGGTACCAAAGGGTCTGCTTAGCAAGTTGCAGATGGCAAGAAGCAGAGGTTCCCTGCACAATATTTGTGAAGATGATATTCCTCCTTCATTAAGAACTGATGAATATATTGACTTGGAAGAAATGTCTAAGCGTATAGAAGCTAAGATGCAAGCTGCCCAACATGGGACTCTTGGTAATGAAAGTAACAGAAGTTTGGCACTTGGTTCTCATGGTGCTCAAAGTACTTCTGTGCAGTCTACTGCTCCTGGTTCACATTCAGGTACACCAACTTTTATTTCAGCCTCTGCATATGACAGTTCATCGAAGACCAGTGAAGCAGTTTCTTATAATCCACATTCACAACAGTTTTATTCTCCAGGACCCCAACAGCATGGGATACCATCGGATAATGAATCTTCATATGGATCACCAATGCCATACAGATTAGGTGAAGATGTGCATGTTGACGATGGTGCAAGCACAAAATATTATCCCCCAATACCAGCTACCACAGAGAGACCTGCCGTACCAGCGAGATTAGCTGTCGGTGCGCCTGTTTGCAACACTGGTACTTTGGGTAGACCTAAACCTGCAGTGCCACCCAGACCACCAGGTAGTGGAAGTAACTCTCCCAAGCCGCGTGCACCACAACCACCAACCTCGGGGAGACCAAGTCCTGTGGTAAAGCCCTCAGCCCCCCCACCACCTCCCCCTGTTATAACACCCATTGAGTCATCACTCTGAGAAACATTTTGGGTAGGAGTAAGTATATTAATTAAATTTTAGGAATAAGTATAATACATTTTATATATATATATGCATATATATATATACATAGATATACTGTATACAGTATATGTATTATTGTATTTCTCCTTGAATTACTGCTCAAAAACTCCCTATGCCAAGATTATCATGAGAAGGGATTGTACTCTTGAACAAAATACATGTCTTTCATAACGCTCATGTTCCATTTGTGTCGTGACCAGCCTAGATTCCTCTATTGTAGTTTCATAGTCTATGCATCATAGTATTACTCATTACTGCTGGAGATTGCATTCTAAAAACACACACAAAAGTAATAATTTAATTCAAACCAAAGTGTAGGATAGAGATATGCTGTACATACAAAGCCACTCTGAACATATTATTATAAGTACAGAGACATAAATGTAGAAATAATTTAACTGAAGTGTTGGATCTGAATTGATGAATCTCAGAATTTTAATTGTTATGCTATTAACTTTGATGGCAAATTTTGATGCATACATTAGATTCATTTTTAAATAATGGTGATAAACATTCTTTGTGTGGGGATGATGAGTTAATTGGTTAAAATTGTTTTGGGATGTCACAAGCTTGAATTGTTCATGTAGGCTACTCCTCTAAAGGTGTGTGTGTGGGTGAGTGTATGTGTGCGTGTGTGTGCAATAAAAGCTAGCTTTGTTGCTCTTGTTGCTGTTATGTTGGTTTGTTAATCATTTGGTAAATGATTAGCAAATAATTTTTCATCTTAAAGCAATTATATGGAATGTCTTAAGGATCTTGCTCTTATTACATGTATTATCATGAAAATATGTATCCATCTATTTATTTCTAATAGAATATTATAAACAAATTTAAGCTTATTTCTTTGCAAGTGATAATAATAATAATTATGTTGATTTTAGCTTTAAAATGCTTCACCCTTTAATCTTTTAATAATTTTTTTCTTTACTGTAATTTCCACAGTATAAGAAAATGTGGGTCTAAATACATTTTTTTTCAACTTTAGCAAGACATTTTCTTGCTTGCTTGTTTGCTTCAGTTTTCATTTTGAAATGCTTATCTTTTTGAGTTCTTGTATTTTTATAAATGCATACAGTATCCATTTCTCATTTAAACTCATGTTTCTTGGGCTATGTCACATCATCCTTTGAAAATGAATGTCAAGAAAATACACACATCAGCCCTAGTATGATACTTGGTTATTAAATTCTTTGAATAACAGGATCTCATAGCATTTAAATTCTCCAGAGCAATTCTTTTGTAATAATCATGAGATGTTTGGTTTTAGCCAACTATGTTTTCAATGTTTAAAAATTGCTGTATGTTTCAGATACTTGTTCTGTTTTCATATCATCTAGGCTTTCCTGTCCAACCCGTGGGTTGACTTTTATATGTTCCACATCCTTAGGTAAGCAAGTATTCAGTATTGTCAGTTCTCTTGTTATATTACAGTATTTGTGAAGTTGAATTAATTGTACTCCTTGTATCTTTTATTCAGCCTTTAAACTTTTTGTCAATGGTTTTAGATGAACTGTTGTTCTTAGGCATTTTCAAGGTGCTTTTCCCACTTTAATTTAACGTACAATATTCGATTTTTTTTATGGTTTTATTGGATGTCATACTGCATACCTGAAACAGAAAATGTCAGCAAATCATTCATAGTGTTTACTAGTCTTTGAATATGCTCAACTCCATTCATTCATCATCATTTACAAAGTTGTTAAAATTAACTTATACATTATTATGCAATGTGTTACCATTCACACAATGACAGTATTGTGGTGGGGGGACTGCAGCCCCAAGTTAAAATAGATTTGGTATTCCCCCAAGATTTTAGATTTTGTAGTCTATGCATGCAGTTAGTTTTTTTTTTTTATCCCTATTTCAGGCCCCCCCCTTCTCCATACATTTAGGTACAGTATATCAATTATTTTTTCGTCAGGCTTAATTTTTTTGACAGTCTTGTGTGAGTGTTGTCTTGCAGCCTGGGGGTACTTGTATATACGCACATGCACGCAGTATCTGGTTTGTTTCCTGAAGTGTATTGATGTGTAGTAGTTTTAATCATTTGTTTTATGCTTCTATAATGTCATTTGATAAACTTGATAAACAAAATCTTGCCAAATTAAGAACAATATTGTTACGTATATTGTACAGTAACTACTTACAGCACAATGCTGTATACGTATAACTGTTTACTTTTGTGACGTTACTGGTCATAAGTATGTTTTAACAACTTTGAATTATACCAGTATTGTCTAGGAAGACTTGAATATAAACATTATTCTTGAGTTTTTAAAACTGCAATAAGTAGCAAATTTTTGTATTAATACCAATTCATCGATTCATGTGATAAATTAACATTTTGATGATGATAGACCCATTCTTAATAAATGTTTAAGAGAGTTGTTCTTTTGCGTCTTTACTCTGACTAAAAAATATATATTTAGTAAGCTTAAAGTAAAAAATTATCAATTTTGATTAAAAAATTGGTTGCATTTATAGTAAAAAGAAAAGATATGTATGTTCAGAGCATGCTTAAAAATTAATCTTGAATTGAACTTAATAAAATTAAACAATGCCAACAAAAAAAATCCTGTGAAATACCCATTAATTAAGTAACTACTATATATCTGTGGTATTCTCATAGCTTTAATAAACTGTATTATTATTTACAGTAACATTAATTGAGCTACATTTGCAAAGTTTTGTAGGTTTGTTGGCTATACACACATGTAAAATTATGATACCTGGTTGTTACCTGGTATGATACTGGATTGCATGGCACCAATGCTAAAGACTAAAAAGACTAGAACCCCCCCCCCAAAAAAAATATATATATATACTTAAAGGATAATTATAATGGGCTAGGGGATATGTAAGTATATTTTATATAAGTGATAAAGCCCTCATCTGGTTCCCATTCAGCACAAACAATCTAAAGAGACAAAGAAAATAGTTTTAAATCTGTGAATAACTGACAAAAATATTAAAGTCACAAGTTCTGCCACCTATGGCTGAATTACATGTTGACCAATTTCGTTCCAACTTCACATATTTAGTGACGGGCATGCATTCTCCCACGATGTAGAAGCTACACCACAATCAGATCTTAAAAGACAAAAAATGCCCCCCCTCCTAAATAAATTGTTGGACGTTGGTGGAACTAACAGATATTGGCATATTGTGCAATGTATATATATGATATATAATAAAATACAGCAACATAACATGCTTACTCATTATTTGTGTGAAATTTTGCCCTCCAGGTGGCAATCAGTAATCCTAGAAGGCACCAGCTGCATATCCACTTTGTGGACCCTCCTCACTACTACTATTATTCTTTGTGTGTCAGACAGGTGCTTGCAACTAATCACTGCATTATCCATGAGTTTCACTAACTAGGTGTTATTCTTATCATCAGTGCTGGTTGCGCACGCTTTTTTTTATGATATGTAGAAATTCATATAAAATGCATTTTTTATTAACAAATTGGGATGAAATTTTCACGATGCTGATGCCAAATAAAGGGAGATTTGTTTAACAGTTTTCACTATACTGTATTTCATATTTGGACGAATATTTTTGTGCACCCGGCCCCTTAATTTGTTACATACATGACTGACCTTGACATTCCCATTACATGCGAGTACTCAACTTGGTCAGCTGTGTAATATCAACTGGACCTTCACTTAAACTGGGTTTTCCTCTGGTACAATTATTCTCAGTCCCTCACTGAATTGTGTCTGATCATATTCTCTGTTCTTCTCAGATGAGGAGTGAGCTGCTGCTCCTCACACCTGTGGCTTACTGAGTGTTATATGAAGCATTACTATTAACATGGCAAGGTTATTTTATCCAGTTTATGTACTATTCACTTCATGACATTATTGAAGCGGGATAAATGCTGTAATACTGTATTCATATATCATTTAAGTTTAATGTTATGGAAAAGCTAATGAACATTAATATGATTCAAGAAATAACTAAGTACTGTATGTATGTTGACAAACTGTAATTCTTATGCTCAAAGGTGGGATGACGTTTGGTTAAATAGATATGCTCCATCACTTATAGAAAGTAGCATATTAGACAAGGTCTTATCTAGTTGAACGCATTTGATTATACAAGTGCATTAGTCTTTTTAAAATAGTGTAGTTATATGAAGTGGAATTTTAACCAAATTGTGAAATTGTTTAAAATGTAAATTTTAATTATTGTAGCTTATAAATATTATAAAATGTTTATGGCAAAAATGTAACATGTACAATGCTTGCTGCAGGCTTCCCAAAAAGTGTAAGATAACTTGGAGTTCTTGCAACTTGTTAAAAATATAATCACCTGCAGTTTAAGATTAATTCAATGATTAATTGAACAGTGCTATGAATCGACTCATAAAGGGATTTATCAGTTGCTTGATGTACCAGTATAATTACTGTATTTGTTTATGGTTTAATACATTTATATTGCCAATTGATTTGACTGTCTTTGCTAAAAATTCTAGTTTTCTTCCCATCATCCATAATTATGTAGTTTTGATCAAACATTTCTTGCATAATCCTGTTACTTGACCATGGTTATTAATTATCTATAGTACTACCACATTTACTATGTTGCACTCAGTTTGCTTTAATGTACAGTTTTGCATGTGGACCAAACTCTCACAAGTGAAGCCTGGCCATGGGCCGGGCTTTGGGAGTAGAACTCCCAGAACCCCTTCAAGCAGGGGTTCATGTTGATTTCCAAAGCATGTTTCTGTAGCTCGCATGCAGAACCTGTTGAAGTTGTCTTTATATTGCCAATTTGTAAGCAAGTGATAAGTTGTTCATAGTTACCATACTTTTGTTTTCACAAATTTATTGGTAAATGGTCTCGTTCTACTCTTGTTCAACTTCTTTAAGTCTGTCTGTTTATGTTAACATTTCAGATAAGATGGAATTAGTCAATTGAAGTTCTTCAGTAATATTAATTGTGATTTAATCTGTACTTGATATTCTTTTGTCATATTCACTTGCCATCATACAGTACGGTATATGATATTCAGATTGAGATTTTTAAAGTTGCTTCATTTCCTAATTTTTCCTCCATGCTTGCATCTTTTCAGTCTTTACTGCAATTCAGTTCTTAAGTATACATATAGAGGGTTATGCTTCCCTTTATTTATCCTATGGCTTTCCCCCCTCTTAATACACAAATTGTAATTACACTCGTTTTTTGTCAGAAAAGGTTTCCTGAATTAATGCAAGTGCTGGGATAATCAGGATGATTTTATAAGATGAATATTGTGCTAATAGTAAATTATCTCTGCTTGATTATACATAATAGTTTGCATTCAGATTTGTTTCTGTGTTTGTCTGCATTCCGTAGTGATTCAGACCAGCAGTTAACCAGGCAAGAAGGGTTAGCTTAGTTTGGGGTAGTGGATATGTTAGTGATGCTCTCTATACACCACAACACTATCACTTCGACAGCTTTGCCTCGCCACTGGATTAAATTTAATCATTTGTGTCATAGCAATCCTTTTATTGCTAATATTGATAATAAGAAATTGGGTTTTATTGGCAAGTCCATCAGCAATTTTAAAGATTAAAAATCCTGTATGAAGAATGAATTTTTACCTTAAAATGTCATGTTGATATTGTCTTCGATTTTTCAGAAAGGGCATTTTTGTAATCTTTCATTTATTATTATTGAAGCATGTTGTTGTTGTTAAAGATTCGCTACCTGGAACAAGAAGTTCCAAGTAGCACGGGCTATGGTGACCCCGTAGGGCTATTGAAGCAGTGAATAGACTATGATATACTATTGAGCAATTTATCAATATAGTGAATACTGTAGTTCATGTTAGTTTTCAAGGGCAAAGCGGGTATTGAACTGAGTGTCGTTATGGGATGACCTGTTTTGCTCCTTAAATATGCTGTTGTTATTAATTAATAATCTTCTCCCAGTGTGGCATGTTAACTTTACCAGATACTCCCAAGTATAGCAGTCAGGTACACTTCAAATTATTCTTAAACCTTTCACATTGCAAGTTCCGGCATTTATTTTTTCTGCTGTCTCTTGATGTAATTTGTTCCAGTTTTATGTGTTTGTCTCATTATCAGCATTTAATACTTTAGTAATGTGGCAACTGAATTTTGTACGGCAATTTTGTATTTTTGTTAGGCCTTCAGAATATTACGGTTTGAAGGTTTGAATTTATCAAAATGCTTTTTGTGTTGATTGTAGAAAAACTCTTAAATTCAAGTTTAGTGGTAGTACTGTATATCCAACTGTTTTGTTCACTTAATTTTGTGAGATATCCAAAGTATGAATTCTTGGTCACAACACCTTAGAAAGTCACACTTTTGTTTGTCACAAACACAACGCTGCTTGCACATACTTGTGTTTTGAGGCTTCTTTTTGTATTTTGTTGCATGTGAGCATTCATCTTATTATGATAAAAAGTACCATTTGCTTGCATAGATTGTAGTTATCTCACCAATGAAGTTTATTGCATAATGATAAAGGTTTTGAGATTAATGAGTATTATTTCATCAAGTATGATGAAAGCAAATTGTGGTGCAACTGCATGACTGACGAAAATAGGAAAAGTAAAGGGTTAGCATTAAAAGAAAAATGGAAAAGTGAGCATTGTTCATGAATGTTTTGAAGTTTGCCTGTGCTCATCAGCCGCAAGTGATGCAGTAGTGAACACGGAAGACACAAGCCAGCCATGCAAGCTTAAAGTTGCAGTACGTACTCCCATTGTAATGTACAGTACTTGTATGCAGTTACAGCTAACTAGTCTTACTATGGTTATTATAATTTCTGCAGCGAGTTTGACAAACGGCAAATTTGTCCGCACCTGTTCTTTTAAACTGCACGTAAAAATTTACAAATTGAATTACTAGCTACCTGTTTTGGCAGGTTAAAATATAGATGAAAAAAAATATTTTTTTGAACTTTGTGTATCACTCGGCATTTTCCCTGTTAACCCGCTATGGATGGTTACTGTATTCACACATTCGTAAAATTCTAAATTCAAATTTGGAACAGCTTCTTGATGCTTGAGAAAGGAAAGGAATTATCAGGAAAGAGCATTAAGCCATTGTGACTATATAGCACTGGGAAGGGGTCTGGATAAGTATTTGGGATGGGACGGGGAAAAGGAATGGTGCCCAACCACTTGAACGGTTGGGGATTAAACACCACCCTGCGTGAAGCGAGACCCGTCGCTTTACCGTCCAGCCCAAGTGAGAAAGATTAAGTTTAATGTGTGTTATAGATGAAGAATATACTAGCTACAAAATAGATTATATTTTGACAAAATTGAAGGCTGTGAAACAATAAATTTAAATATATAGTCACTGTACAGTATTGCCCGCTTTGTATTAATTTATATTTTTAGATTTACTTTTTCTAACTGATCTTGATTTAACAAAAAATTTAATATATTCCATAAAATATGTATTCGTAGTTTTTTTTTTTTTTGGCAAAACATTACTTGAACACTCAAATTAGTACAGTACGCCATGTCATCATTTAAAGCCGTTGACATTGTCATTCATTGTAATTTTCATTTCAGTTATTTCATTCAATATTCACATCATTGATTTCATAAATTGTATAACATTAGTTTTAAATTATGTACATAATGTAAATATTTTGTATACATTACAGTATTTGTAGGAGACAAGGGCCAGTTGTAGGTTTTATCTTAAGGATCTGGCTATGATTGACAGGTGATACGAGAGGCATTGTATGAGAAGAACTGGTATGCATATGACAGTGTGTGTAATCAGCTTTAGAAATATGGAAGACGATAATAAATGTTTCATTGGTTTTCTTGTCTGATTAATTTTTTTGTTAAAAAGATCTGTAAATACTGTAGTGCAATAGCAAAAGGCAATAATGATAATTTTAAATATATTGAGTGATAGCATTTATTGGTTATAATCTCGATCATATTTTTATTAAAGCTTTCCAGTAATAGTTTGTTTTTTATTGTTTTTGAAATGTCCCACCCCTCTTTTTTTTTTGTGTGTGTGTGTGCGTGGGTGTCTTTTTTTTTAGGTCACAATAGAGCTAGCAGGCTTAGCAAGCTGTATTATCAAAATGCACTGAATAATTTTGGTGTACTGTACTGTATTTACATTGTCTAATTTGACATTGCTTATCTTATGTCTTCCTGCTCTTGTATTGTCATGGTGAGAAATAACCTAGGAACTATTGAGTGTTCCTTAACTACTTCAGTACTACATAACCATGCTGGCTTTGCACTTATTCATTAATTACTTCCCAAGATTTACAGGGCGAGGGCTGTCGTTTCTGTAAGAGAAGTTGTGTGCAAGGGTTCATTCATACTCACAATCAGCACATTTTTTTTATATGTTCAGATTTAGCTGTTGTCGTTTAAGGCAAAAATCAAAATTATACTTGAATACATAAAATCTGATGGAGTGTTCTAAGCCATATTGAGATTAAAGTTTTTTTTTTTTTTTTTGAGTTTGTGATGCTTTTTTCTCAATCTGAGCTTTGGTGTAGTTAGTTATGTGGGCCTGCAATAGTCATCCTGGCATTGGGTACAGGCTTTCTTTCTTTGATGTCCAAAGGGTTTGGAAAGGATGAGGGAGGCAGAGGGATGGGGAGGTGAAATTCTGGAAAAGGATGCGGGGTGTAGAGAGAGAGAGAGAAGAGGTTTGAAAGTTCCGTGGCCTGTCCATCATGGGTTGGCATATGTGTGTGTCTTTTGTTTGGGTATGAGGTATGTTGGGTTGTCAGTACATTGGCTGGGTGGCTAGTGATGGTATCTGAAAGCCCTCGAGCCAATGGAGTTGGTTTGGGTACAGTAATGTTTGCTTCTATTAGCCCACTTTTTGGGGTACAGTATGTGAAAATGGCATACCACATTATTAAGAGCCTGTTTTTGTTGAGGCCAGGTATTTTTGTTTATGGATTTACATCGGTTAAGGATATTCCAAAAACACTGCATCTCTTAATGAAAGTTACTGCTCTGATTATTCAAACCAGTAGAACTAACATTAAATAAATAAATAATAAATAAATGTTTATTTAGGTAAGGTACATACATACAAGAGATTTTACTAAGATTGATGGATTTATAGATAGAGCTAGTACATACAATGCCTAAAGCCACTATTACGCAAAGCGTTTCGGGCATGAACAATTCACATTCGGGCATGTTTCGAACATTAACACTGACAGTGTGCTCATAGAATACAGTTACCCAAGATTACATCTCTTGAGGGTGTCAGCAGCAGTATGTAGTCAGATCCTTTAATATGTTTATTTTTTAGGTTGTCTTTTGTTGGTTGTTTAAGAATGTTAATTATGTATATGTTAAGGTTTTGCAAAAAAGTGTAAATGTCTTGGTTTTATAAACTAATTCGGATGCTGGCTTAAAGGTGTTGTTTTTGGACACCTTATAGTAAGAGCTTTAGTGTTTTTTGTTCATTGAACTTTGTTAATTGTTCTCAAAATCTTAATTAAATATCAATGTTTTCTTGAAATGCAAAGTTTAAATAAGATGCAACCTGCTTTTACATTTAAACTTCAGTGACTGAGGAGGTTATAAAAGTTCAAAGTGTTTGTAAATGCCTTCTTTTGGGGGATAGTTTCTTGAATAATTTTTTAAGTAAAACAGTTGAATATAGAGACTGATTTCATAATTAGTAATCACTGTGTGTTTAATCTTCACAGAAAAAATCCCATGAAAGAAGTTAACTCTGACTTGAGTAAGATAAGACTTAAACAATAACTGAAGGATCTATTTGCTCTTTTAAGAAGTTGCAAAACTTTCGCTCTTTATTTTTGTGCTGAAGCATATCCATATTGCTGATTATTGATAATTGTGATAGTTTATGCCATACTTAAGTATGTACAATACTATAGTTGGTTTATATGTAAATAAAAACCTATTTCATGAAAAGTTTTTTTTGCATTTCCTGTCCTTTTAAATTTATTAAAGTATAGAAACAGTATAAATACAGCATTTATACTGGATCCACAGGGAGGTCAAGCCCAAGAGCAAATGGATGATGACTCGTGGATATCATGCATATTCACAAATAAAGTAAAAAAAATATTTTTCTTGCCTATCTGTGATTTTTGGCCCACTATATGTCAGCACAAGTGTAGAATTAGGAGGAAATGTTGAGGGTGAACTGCTGATGTACAAGACTCACTAGAGCCTGAAGGTTGACTTTTGTATCTCGAACAGTAGCTATCCACATTTGCGATTGTGCGGGTATAATCACAGTGTTATTACAGTACTGTACTGCTTTGTAAAGCCAGCGGATATGAGGGCACATATATATACTGTACAGTATTGTTTCTGCTTTCTGATCGTTCCCCGCGGTCACTTTTCCCTCGATAGAATTCTTGGTGAATCGGATATTTTTTATATCGTTCGCCTTATGCGTTTCTGTTCTCATATTGGCATCCTTAGTGATATTTAGCGCCCTCTGATTATTCCGCATATTTGATGGTGATACATAGCCTTCCCGGCTTGGTGCTTTCTTTGATAATTAATTAATTACCTGTACTGTATATACAATACCAAAGTGATAGGTTATCACTACTAGAAATGTTATGGAGGATCATGACCTCAGGAGAAAAAATTGGGCATTTTGAGAAAATATTTAAAAATTCTTTTGAGGCTACAGTATATAAATATTCTGTCTGCCACCCCATTTATTTATGTAATAAGTTATATATTTAATAAATACAGTTGCTGCATTGTATATACCATGACTACAGAACAATTACATATTAAAAGCTATATGCACTCAGTAATAAATATTCTAAGGCATTCATTGTTTCATACAGTTATAAATAAATAATAAATAAAATATAATCTTACACAGTGAGATATAATAAATTATGAGATAGAAATGTAGTTATGAAACAGGAAGGCAAGAAATTGAATTGTAATGTGCCATGACCCATTTTCAGTTTGCTAAAAAAAGAAAATAACTGATTTACTTAAATGCGAGGCCTCTGCAGTACCGGGAAAGGAAAGAAACTATCAGGAGAAAGCGCTTAAGTAGCCAACATGAAAATTATACAAAGTATATACATTATTAATTTGTTTACACGATTTGTAGCGGCTATGATCAGCTGTGTGTGAACACACACTATGCAATGTTTTATTCAGAAAGTCTTACAAAGAATTACACAGTCTGTAATTCTGTACTTGTCACTTTATGAACTCTTGATTCTCGGTGATGTTGAAGTGGAAAAATTAAAAATTGAAAATAAACTGCAGAATTGGCATCAGGTAACTGAACAGAGTTTTGTTATATCAAAGAAAAGATCATATAATTTTGTATTAGTATGAAGAGGGTTTTCAAGTAGAGTGAAATAGAATTATTCTATAGAATCTTAAATTTGATTGGATGGGAAGAGCTTGTCATACACACCTCGGGCCATGGCTTTAATTCCCTGGTAAGTTTCAATTCCTGTAGGTTCAATTTGTTCCTTGGGTAGGATAAATCCATAGCGTCCTGTCAGAGATATAATGTTATATATAATGAGATATAATAGTTATAATTTGAGTTATAATGCTGAGATACTATGACTATGGGAATTTCATGGATATAAAATGCTAGAATTTGTTGAAGAATTCCAATATGTAAATATTCTAAATACTACAGTGCATTTAAAAATTAGAATGGTACAGTAGAAGGATATTTGAAGATATATATTGATAATCTGAACAAATAGGCCATCACCCAATACGCACCCAAGTCGCGGAGTTCCAAGCTGAAACTGTATGGTATCCCAATACTGTATGCATAGTCTCCTGAAGACCCAGAGGCAATGTAAAGGAGTTCGGTGACCTGGCCATAAGTATACCTGGTGATGGAAACTTTATTAAAGTACAGGTATGTTGAAATTATTCAAATTGGCAATGATTTCTGAGTATGTTGTAACGCTTTGCTAAATTGCAAAGGCCCTAGCAATGATTATTTTAAAAGTAAAAGGCACAAGAAATATTTTGGTAGTGGATTAACAAGATTCATCATGATGTTGTAAGTACTGTACAACATAACTTCAAATAAGTGGAAACCAATATTGCTACAATTTTTTTGGTAGTATGGAAAGTGGCCAAATATGCACTGCACAAGTGTCATTATGTCACGTTAAACACTATTGTGTGGCCAGTAACTGGATGAGTGAAGCCTTGCCCTTGGCTAAGGTGACCACAGTACAGTAGAGGCCTACTGGTTTAATGCTTTTTTTTTTATAATTGCAGTACAGTACTTCTAGGTGCTATTCTATGTGATGTGGAGAATGAGGTCTTGCTTTAGAACTCTTCCTCCTTATTGGGTACCTGGTGCAGTTATTCTTTTTGCTCCTCAGTTTACTCTACTTATTTACAACCATCATTGCATATGAGCACAGTACGTTTGTATCTCGCTCCGACACCTCTGCCTATTCAGAGAGATTAAACCGTACTGTAAACTGTCTAAAAGTATTTTAAGCATCAACTGTGATATGTAAAACTGAATCAATTTGATCAACTTACTCTGTTCCAGAGTTTTTATGAATTGCCTGTATAGCTAGTTTTGCGATATCAATCATGTCTTTGTAGTTGGATGGAGCTTCGAGTGAACTTGCCCAAGGTAACATCCACATTTGAGAATATGCATGAATGGATGCATACACCTTTACCTGCAACATACAGATCATTTAGATTAAATATTTTACTTATGCTATTCTACAGTATTTCATTAAATAAAATGGCATTAATATTTAGTATTTTAGGTAGTTGTTAAAGAAGATAAAACCATAAACCAACTAAAATTCTCTACAACACAATTTAATGTAATATTAATAAATTAAAAAAAATCGAAAAAAAATATTACTGTACCGTACTTCAATTCTAATTGTATATTGTCCCGTAAGCAGCTTAATACTGTACTGTACATAGAAGGTGCATTAGTTTGGTTATTTATTGAGGCACTATTGGGATGTGGGTGGAAGGGAACAGCTTATCTTTGGCAATGCTTATACTGTACTATAGCAGTTCATTATTGTCTTGCATGTCCAATTTGAAGTGTATTTCATAATTTATCAGCGGGCCCTGGTGGTAGTTTTTCAAAGACATAATGAGACAGGCACAGCATAGGACTTAGCAGTATCTATGTGCAGTAGTATGTAATATTAATTTAATTGGATTGGAGGGAACACCGTAAATTGACAAATTAATGTGGCAAACATTTGCACAAAGAACTCGCAAATTCAACATGAAATGAACAATATATCAGTTTGCGACTTGATGATTAGTATGGGTGTGAACTTAGAATTAAGAAGTTGACCAATATTGTAATTATCTTAGTGTAGTTACAGGATGAGAGCTACACACTCGTGGTGTCCTATCTTCCCTATAATCTTTGTCACACAGTGCTTTAAAACTACTGATGGTTTTGGCATCCACTGCTTCACTAAAATTGTTTCGGCCATCTACAACTTTATTAACAAAAGATTGTAAAGCTTATCTGGTATTACTGTCATCAAATCACTTTATACAATAAAACTTCAAGCTTTGCCTTATTTACAATCTTTTCATATTTAAACTGATTATTTTATTACCAAAAGCACTATTATAAGGGCTTTAGGGGTTAATCTCACTCAAGGACTTCAAGTGAAAATGATATTGAGGCCTTGCAAAGAAATCTACATGAACTTCACAAATGGTTGGAAGACTGGCAAATGCTTTTTAACACTGACAAATACAAGACCTTGCATGCGGGGTATAATAATGCCCATCACAACTGTCATATCAAGAACACTACCATGATTGAAGAAGAAAAAGACCAGAGTCAGAATCCACAAGTCACTGACAATTGCACAAGTGGGAGCTGCAGTAAAAAAAAAACCAGCCCAACCCTAGGAATAGTCAGATGAACCTTTGACTTCAAAGAAAATAAAGTGATTATTCAAGTGTACAAATCTCTGGGGTGCCCCAATTTGGACTGCCATATCTAAGAACAGAGACCTCATCTTCACGACATCTGCTTTGGATAAAGTACAACACAGTTTGACTCTATCATCCCAGAACCAAGTCTACTCTCAGGACTACCACTGCAAACCATACAGGACAGGGCTATTATATAGAAACAAAATACTGAACTAACTTGAGAATATTAATCGAGACCACTACTTTAAAAGGTCACAAGTAACACATACAAGGAGCAACAGCTTCAAGTTCAACAAGCCACAATGCAAGACAGAGAACAGGAGATGCTTTTTAAATCATAAGGGGGGTAATAAACCCATGGACCCACATACCTGCTGAAGCCACAAATGTCAAGACAGTCAGATGCAGTTCAAAATCGAGTTGGAAAAAATTCTCCGGAAAAATGGGGGGGGGGACCTTTGCCAATTCATTGGTTTCCTGTTCTCGTCGAGTCTACTAGATACTGTAGATGGTGACTCTATGGTAAATTCAGGTAAATACAAATACAGTCCTAAAATTATCCAATTTACTTTCAACAAATTGGCTAGTGCATTTCTTTTCAGCTCTCCAAATTTTATTGATAGAGTTTTCAACATTATGTTATGGGTGATGCTCCTCTGGTACTGTATTGTCTTGGAAACTGCTATGGATTATACTTCACAGGATCAATTCTGTAGTATGATTGTAATGTGCCTTGTTCAGAAATCTGAATGGATGCAAGTACAGTATCTTGTTTTGGTTTGGTGTTGGGCTTAAGTCTTATCACCCTCTGGAGGGTTGTTAAGGCCACCACAAAAGCTTACTGACCAACCAGTTGGAATAGTACACTTTGGTCCTGACCATAGTCCAGAACTAAAGGATCTCTCCGTTAATATACACTTCTCGATGTATATACAGTATTGTAAATCCCTTTTTCTTGTAAGTGTCTTTGTTTTTATAGGTGGACATAGGGACTAGGAGTAAATGGCGAACATTAAATACAAAAGTACTGTAATAGTCTTAAACATATAGTGTAATTGTTATAGAAATGATATGCCAATTTAATAACATTATTTATATACTGTATTTTTTAAGATGTTGTTGACCACTTTGGTAACAAAAAACATGTTGTAATAAAAAATCTGTGTACCTGTGGAAATCTGTGTGTATTTTGTGGAGAGAGTGATCAGGTAATGGTAAATTAATCTTTGGGTTTTAGAAATTCAGATTTCATGTTCACCTATTTGGGAATTTATTACAGCAGGTTATACCATAATTGCGTATTTAACTCTTAGAGACCTTTCAGCTTTAACTTTTGGTTAAATTTGGCTATGGGATACTATTCTTTCTTACCTGGTCTGCATGGTTCAAAAGAAAATCTCTGATGGCCTTTGTCTCCGGTTCAGAAAAAGCCGCATGTCCAGCAAAGAGTGGACTGCAAGGGTTCGTGGATGAACCACCTGTAAGCCACTTGTAGCCAAAGTTCCTGTTGGGATCCGTTCCAAAACATTTAGGGTATCCATGGTTGACCGAGCGAGTCTTTCGCCAGAGGCGATCATGAAGGCGAGAATATTCATAACCTTAAAAAAAAAGCAGTTCATCAATAATAAATTGTTATTATATACAGGAGAATGCACTTATTTGTCACAAGTTGTGTAAATAAATGTGAAAATTCTTGATATTTACCCAATTTGTACAATATCCAAGAGTACAGTAATGCCAATTCAACGTCAAATCAACATCGAACCAATGCCACCCTTGGATATTGTGCCTACTGAATTATATATTCCTTTGGAGAACAAAATGCAATATTTACAGACTTGTTATAAATGTTATGTAAAGTGAAAAGAATGAAAAAAGATATCGGGATACTTTAAGCCCATAGCAAGTGATAAAATGCATATATTTAGTGAAATACTGAACACAAGTGATAAAGAGAATGAATTCAGTGAAACATCATCATTTCTATTGTCAGGGGACAGGAAGCATGTACTGTACTTAGGATTATTGAGGTCCCAATAGGCCAACTATTAACCTTCCCCAGGATGCAACCCCCACAACAATTGTTTAGCTTTCAGTACTTATTTACCATTACAGTACTAAAGAAAGAGCATCAGGTGTAAGGAAAAGTGCCCAAGTGCTTGTGTCCTTTTCATATGAGAAGATTTGCATGTTATAGATAATGAATTAAAATTAATATCATAGACAATAACAATGCATGGTGCTGAAACTCACCATCAGGGTTGCCCATGGGCATGATGTACCAATCAAAGTTACTGATGAGATCTGGTTCCTCCCAACTGAACTCGACTAATCGATGAAGTATGTACATGGCAGTAGCAGGGGAGATCCACTCACGAGCATGAAGCCCTGTAAAGGAGAGTGATTACAGATAAAAAACAGGTTGGGAATCAGTACATTAGATAACTGATGGTTGGAAAGGCAGAGTCTAAGAGCTAAGAGCTCAATCCTGCAGGCACAAATAGGTAAATACACAGAAGCCAGTCTCCATACATGCAGCTGAGCCGACATTTTTACTGCTCAATCTTTTGCTTCTTAACCTTACACTGTAAATTTTTTTCCTCACACTGATGGATATAAATTTACTTTTAAGCCACTCTTATAACATTTCTTGCTGGTTTAAATTAAAGATAAAAGGTCTCTAAATATGCCAATAAATATGAACAAATTTATTTTCTAATTTAATTTTTTTTTGTTTAGAAAATTATTCCTTGTCATAAAATCATAAATTCCTATCTTATAAAAGTACAGTACTGTACTGCCTGGGGTGTAAATATAGCCTACATTTTGAAGTAATACCAGTCTTCATCTTAAATAAACATACAGTTCATAATAATGAACATATAGTTATAACATAGTTATAATTTGGCAAATTTTTCACACAAGATTGTGAAGCAGTCCATTATATTACCAGTGGCAGGAACTAGTCTTCTCTGTAGAAACAGGTGTTATTTAATGCTGTGGTAAATGAGACCATGTGGCCTATAAGATGCAACTAAGGAATTTCCTCTTCTCAGTCTAGAACAAATTCTAGCTAAGAGTAAACATTTGTAACTCCTGAGCAACCAGTGGGATTTGTTATAATTGCCACTTTATTTTACAGTACTGTGCCCATCTCAGATACATGTGTGAACCACTTACGATTGTAGTGAGAACTGAATAATGAAGTAAACTAATTACTCATGGAACTGATTATTATGCCAAAATAAGAGTTTTTAAGTTAAAAATAGAACAAATTTTAATTCAGGATTCCTGGCCTATTTAGAGCTCTCCATCTAATTGAACCCAACAAGAACTGTTCTAATAGATGCCATTAAGAAAACTGATATTAAGGCCTGTTCAACACCTTATGATCTGAGTGACATGACAAACTGTTTCATTTTCTATTAGCTTTATCTTGGCTATTAAAAACATTCTTCTATGCTTCCATTTTCAGCATTTCATATTTGCATGTAGTTCTGTATTTAGTCTACTATGCAGCTTTTTTGTTGACACTTTTTTTAAAAGCTGTAAAATATGAAAAATGGTTTATGACCAGCATCACTTTAAAAAAATTCAACTGATTTTATTCAGTTTAAAGTTAAATAAACAAGTCCCATTAATTTAAAAGCACCAAATGTCAAAGCAGCAAAATTATAATTCCAGAATCTTTCAAACTTACCATATTTGAATCTCAAATTAGTAATAAATACAGTTCCATAACAGTTTACTCCTCAATATTAACTTATAAGACATAATTTCGATTGAACACTTGTTCAAAACCTGTCACCTTACCTCCATCGATAAAAATAGCAGGTTTGTTAGGTCCACTGGAAACCTTAGCTACTCGCAGGGTTCGATTCTCAGAGGACTTGCCAATTTCCTCTACGGTGATGAGGTGGGAGTACTGAGCCTGTAGGTAGTCCAGGTACTGGTCCATTTCTGCAGGAGAAAAGGCAAAGTGGCAAAAAGGCAAAGGTCAGGTGGAGTTGAAGTTTTATTATAAATGCCGGTAGGTAGTTAAATGTTTGATTCCAAATGATGTTATCAATTTGAATGTCAAAACACTCATTGAAAACCTTAATAAAGAGTGATTATTTCAGATAAAAAGCTTCAGGACAGCTTCAATCTAGATTACTGTGTGAGCTGGCATAATTTGCTGACATGGCAAGCAATATGTAGGTAGAAATTGCAGTGTGCTTTCCATTTAGTATCTCTGAGGAGAGAGAGCTAGCTCTTTGGGCCCTCCTCTTCATTATCTCTTCACTGTGAGGACCAGTTTAAACATTATAGCTTAGGTTGCTTAGCAAAATAAACAACTTCAGCATAAAAAAATACTTTAATGTAGCTTAATGTTTATCTACTTAATAATTCACATAGCTTCCTTTAACCCAGACAAATACTACTTTACTAAATTACACTAAAATGTTTATTGATGCAGTGTGGAAGTGGTACAAGATAAAATGAGTACAGTATGTGTATGATAAAAAAAATCATACACATACGGTACAGGTTCAAAGGTCAAACTACTGATATTTTCACCAAGATGCAGCGCACTACAAGTCGACAAATTATTTATTGCTAGGTGAACAGCGACATTTGGTGAAAGGAAACGTTTTCATCCATTTCTATCCCGTCCTGTCCAGGATTCGAACCCGGGATTCCCAATTGTGAGTCAAGAACGAACCCAACTGTGTTACAAAGTCTCTATAATAGTTCCCCACCAGGGGCCAGATTCACGAAAGTACTTACGCAAGCACTTACGAACGTGTACATCTTTCCTCAATCTTTGACGGCTTTGGTTACATTTATTAAACAGTTTACAAGCATGAAAATTTCCCATTCAATTGTTGTTATTGTTATAAACAGCCTCCTGGTGCTTCGGAGCTCATTAACTGTTTGATAATTGTAAACAAAGCCGCCAGAGATTGAGAAAAGATGTACAGGTTCGTAAGTGCTTGCGTAAGTACTTTCGTGAATCTGGCCCCAGGATTTAAATTTCATTTATGTTGGCCCTTTGCTTCCATTCCAATAACCGTTTCCTTATGTAATTTAAGATATCATATAGTAACAATCTTTCGTGAAGAACAATATTAAAAGCCTTACTAAAGTCATGATGGGTTAGATTCACAATGCAGTTACGCAAGTACTTACGAACATGTACATCTTTACTCAATCTTTGACGGCTTTGGTTACATTTATTAAATAGTTTACAATCATGAACACTTCCCAATCAACTGCTGTTATTGCTATAAACAGCCTCCTGATGCTTCGGAGCTCATTAACTATTAAATAATTGTAAAGAAAGCCGCCAAAGATTGAGAAAAGATGTACAGGCTCGCAAGTGCTTGCGTAACTGCTTCGTGAATCAGGGGCCAGATTCACGAAAGCACTTACGCAAGCACTTACGAACCTGTACATCTTTTCTCAATCTTTGGCGGCTTTGTTTCCATTTATTAAACAGTTAATGAGCTCCGAAGCACCAGGAGGCTGTTCATAACAATAGCAACAGTCGAATGAGAAGTTTTCATGCTTGTAAACTGTTTAATAAATGTAACCAAAGCCGTCAAAGATCGAGGAAAGATGTACACGTTCGCAAGTGCTTGCGTAAGTACTTTCGTGAATCTGGCCCGTCGTATATAATATGTAATTTATTCACTATCCAATTCACACAGCACCACTCCCGTGCCAGGTAAGTCCTCTACGGGCTCACCATAGCCCGTGCTACTTGGAAACTTATTCCGAGTAGTTGAATCTATAACAACAACATCACTATCCAATGCGTCATATAGTGAGGCTCACCTTGGACGGAGTGGTACTTGTGCCATGTCATAGGATGGGCAGGACGGTTCCAGGAGAAGAACTCGTCGTCGCCGAGTTCCAGGTTGATGGCGCTCTGCAGGTCGTCAATCACCTCGTGGTACTTGAGGCTGTACTCTGTGAAGACCTCGCGGACCTTCCGGCACGGGGGAGAGAGAGAGGGGCTCACAGGTCAGTACACGTCTGTTGTAGCCAGAGGTGAGGACACACCTGTCACACCTAGGTTAGGACACACCTGTCACACCCAGAGGTCAGGATACGTCTGTTGCAGCCAGGTCAGGACACGTCTGTTGTAGCCAGAGGTGAGAACACACCTGTTACACCTAGGTCAGGGCACACCTACCACACCCAGAAGTCAGGACACACCTGTCACGCCCACAGGACAGGACACACCTGTCACCCACAGGTCAGGACACGTCTATCACATCCAGGTCAGGACACATGTCACACCCACAGGTCAGGACACACACCTGTCACCCACGCGTCATAACACACCTGTCACACCCAGAGGTCAGGACACACCTGTCACGCCCACAGGTCAGGACACACCTGTCACCCACAGGTCAGGACACGTCTATCACATCCAGGTCAGGACACATGTCACACCCACAGGTCAGGACACACACCTGTCACCCACGCGTCATAACACACCTGTCACACCCAGAGGTCAGGACACACCTGACGGGCTGTGTATGATGACAGACAGTATTATAAGAACGGAAGGCGGTGAACTTTAGCCAGCTCAGCCTCCTAAAATGAAAATACTCATAGAAGCTATTTGGTGGAAAGTTCCAATATGTAGTAATGGACCGCCAGAAAATTTACTTTTGTATTACTGAATTTCGATAAACTGGAAACGTTTTTTAAGAGCAACATAAATAGGAGACCTAACCTAACCGCTCCTAGCAATCATAGGTCTAATACACGCTATCTTAGGACTAATATAATATATATATGGCCTAGGAATATATATTTACAAGGCCTAGGAATATTTAAGTTTGATTTTTAGCATTATTTTTTCGGACTTAATACAATTATGAGTACATAAATCGGTTTACTGGTGGTCTATCACTATATATATTGGTGCTTTCCACCAAATAGTTACTATAAGTACTATAATTTCAGGAGGATGGGTTGCAGTGGTGTATTTATTATGTTAAATGTTATTTACCTTCTTTCATCCGCCATCTACCATTTAATTTTGTCAAATTCTTTCTGCCTGTAACCTGCTTCACACCTACGCCTTCTATAACTTGCCATAGACTGTATTAACTTCTATAACTATAACTTGCTTCCTGTATTGTATAACCTGTCTGTATGTATACCTGTCCCTGATGTTACTATTGTATTTATTATATTCCATATACTGTATCTATATTAATTAATTAACTCAATCCACACATTCTCTTGTACCATTTACATGTACAAAACCCTGTTCTTAAATGCAAACCTTGTTCTGAAACTCTCCCTGGACAGATGCAATAGGATCCATAATCACCACACCAGAAATAAATATATCTTTGATATCCCCAGAGTTAAACTTAATCTGTGTAAACACTCTATGCAAATAAAAGGACCTAGTTTATGGAACTCACTCCCTAATGAATTGAAAAGCTGTCCAACTTTTGCCTTATTAAAAAAAAAGTACCTAATTGCCTCTTCATAGTTTCCTATCTAGTGCACTGTATCTAGTGCTACCCAATCCCCAATATATGTACCTCAGCCAAATAACTTCATCTTTGTAATCATTGATATCATCTTATATCATGGTTGTTATGTTGAACATATATTGTGTGCTACCCAATCTCTCAATATATATATGTACCTAATCATACAACTTTACCTTGTGATCAGTACCTAATCATACAACTTTACCTTGTGATCATTGCTGTCATCTAATGTGCTATCAATGTGCTTTTAGGTGCCTACTAACCTTTGTCAAATTATCAATCAAGCTATCAATGCTTTCAATCAAAGCTATCAGTGTGCTTTAATGTGCCTACTAATCTTTGTCAAATTGTCTTACAATGTACCTGTTAACATTGTATAAATTTTGCTAGAAATTACCTACTTAATATTATCTGTTAGATTAAGAACCTGTCCGAAACGCTTTGCATACTAATGGCTTTACAAGAATGTAAACACACCATGCTATGTACTCTCTTAAACCCAATGTACCTTCTTGTATATAAATAAATAAATAAATAAATAAATACATAAATAAATAAATAACAGGTTAAGTTCTTCAGTCACTTTAATTTTTAGTATGCCATTTGGACGAATACAGTTATAAAAAAGGGATCTTGTTGGTCCAACAGTCCATTTTTATACGTTTGAGCAGTTAATAAATTGCTATACGTACTATTATTATTGGAGGATGGGATCTATTATTTGTACTATTATTATTATTGCTATTATTAAAATCTCGAAGACAAGCTATAAATATTTGAAATAAGGCCTGAAGGGTATAAGGAGTCATATCTCTAACTATTAGTAAAATAACTAAATATTTCCTTCTTTATCTTGCCATTCACTTTGAAGTATGCTATGCTGTTTTGGTGTCTTACTAAGAAGGTACGTAAATTATACTGAGAGTATACAGAGAAGAATTACTAAATTAATCTCAGGTATTAAGAATGTTCATTATGAAAAAGAGACGTAGGTACCATTCTTAAATATAATTTAATTTTATTATATATTACAAGGTATGTAAAGTTAAGCTGAGATTAGGTTAGGTTAGGCGTTTAGGTTCTGTTGGTAATTATTTGTACTTGCAGTACATGTAGTTTTAATGGAGATGCAATTCAAACATAGGAAGTTAGTGAAACATTGTTCGAGAAAAGTTCGAATATGTTCAGTTGTGAATTGTGTATAAAGTGGTTTTCATTCATAAACGTGGTCTGGCTGCTGGATTAGCGATCATTTATCCAATAATTTTAGGGTTCTCTAAATATGATTCAAGATAGAATATGAAATACTGGATTCAAACACAGGTTCGGGGAAAGGATCGCAGATCCATGGAATTACTTATCAAGTAACATTAGAAAAGCAAACTAACTGGCTCATGTTGGACAAATAAGCGTTTTACCAATTAAATTTATCTTTTCTTAACTTTGGTCGACTAAGATTCATCTTACCTTCTGTTCAGCGTAGGGAGGCGTGAGTAGGTCCACCTCGTAATGGGGTTCATTGCCCTTTTTGCGCCAGGACCAGACATCGACGCCGTGCGAATTGTCGAGGGAATCGACGACAGGCAGTTCCTCCAAGGCCACGTCAGTGCGGAAGAGCTTGTAGCCCGAATAGGACACGGGATCCTCCGCCTGCAGACTTCGAATTTCTTCCTGGGTAAGTAAGGGCGAGCCCCACGATCCTCCTAACGTCAACAACACCACTATTGCTCTCGTCAGACTGTTACATTTTTCATTCATATTGTAGCACGTTTCGATGACTTTGTGGTTCCTTCGATTTTTTGTTAGAAGGAAGAATAAATATCTTTGTGCTTTGTTGTGCGTATGCAAGAGGATTGTTAGATTAGCAGTATTTACAGCAAACGACCGGGAAGGGAAAGAGGTGGTTGGGAAACTATTTCAGATATGGGGGAGGGGGTCTAAAGTTTTTTAAATAACCAATTCACTTCTATCTCTTGTTAAAGAATTATAAAATTAAATTAACCGCACATATAAATATGTTAATCATGGAAACTCGGTCTATAATATTTCTATTTGAGACAAATTTGTAAGCGTGGTCCGTCAGGTGACACCCCATTCACGTATCGTGTGTATGGTCTGGACTCTGCTGCCACCAGTGTGTTTATTTATATATATATATGCACAGAGGATGCACATCACCTGCCGGAAGTACAGTCATCCCCACGCACACCCTTCCGGAGGTGACCTTGAGCGAGGAAGGTTAAGGTTACCAGAGCTGCATTGCTAGGGACATTTTGACCCCCAAGCCGCGTGCAGCTTGAGCGACCTCGCTTTCTGCCCTCTTCTGTAGTTCCCGGGGCGGTATGAAAAGTGGCGTTATATTGAACATATTTTTTTATATACAGTGATAAATTCATTTAAATCTTTTGAGAACTGTTATCCATTATCGAAACTTCACCTCGTTCTCCATTTATCTAGGTTTATAACTTTCGATTGATTTAAAAAAAATATATGACGTTGATAATAAAGTGTTTATCCGTAGCGGAATTAAAAGCACAGCTCGCTCTACGCTGACTAAACTGGGTCAAGTCAAGAGTGTTTAGGGAGGGGAGGGGGTGCGGCGTTGGCGTTTCCTGGTTCCTCATGACTGACATAATTATCACAAGCCTAATATCATTCGTACAACCTAATTTTTGCCGTTCCCACAGTGTACTTGGTATGTCACAGACTTTACATATTAAATGTCACCGCCCAAATGTAGATATTACCATAATGTCATTCGTCTACCCTTCCTACAGGGGTTACTGTAGTTTCTTGTCAAGTACATTAATGTTGTAGTTTAATGAATTTTTCGTCTGGACTCATAACTTTCTTCAGTTCATTGTCATTCGTTTATCTTTGTTCAAGCAGCAGCTGTAATTTATTGAAAGATAAATAGACTATCATCTGTAAACTATACATATTACTAATTCTCAGTACAACATAAGAGAGGATTACGATATGTTTATTCGCGAGCCTATAGAAGGTAGAAATAGCCTAAGCTACTCTATCCCTTTGAGATGCATTTTTTTTCTTGTCTCAATAAACTTATTTGAACTTGAACTTGAACTTGCGAGCCTATATGTACCAGAAGCTAATTTTAAGACATTCAAGGCCTGTTGATCGAATTCAGATATCTCAACAGGGGAATCAAAGCCTGTGGACGGCCGTATTCAAATAAACTCGTTCCTCAACTATGAATATGTTTGAAAAACGTCCTTTTCGTGATGCAATTGCGTACTGGTGCTCACATAAATCAGGAATGCAACATCCGCATCAGGGAAGACAGACAGAACTGAGGTTGTTGTGTGAGATGACTGGCAGGTATTCTTGCGCTAACACGGTAACATAACACTCAATGAACCCGGAGAGCATATACATGCGAGAGGTGTAACCCCTGCATCTCTGTGTACATCCAGTGAGATTTGCTTTCGTTCAGAACTAAAGTATACTTGCTGGTTGGTGGCCTTACTAAACCTCCCGCGGTAAATAGGCTTTATGCCCAAAACCAAACCTATAACCTAGAGAATTTCAACATCTCGACTAGAAAGAGACCCCCGAGAAGTTGATCCACGACTGGAATACTTATCAGCGATTGGGAGGTTCGTCAACGATTGGAAAGCTCGACAAGCTGAGTGGTAAGAGAGACGAAGCCTGTTAACAAGAGAAGGTCTCTCATTTTGAAGATAATATAAAATCGTGCAAACAAGTTAATTCTGAATGTAACAATCTTGTGGTTGTTCCAGTTATTGTTTGCTGAAGTAGACCTCCTACCGCCGCTGGTGTTCCACGGACGAGGAAGGTTAAGACCTACACAAAGTGTACATAATAAATAATTTTTTATTATTATTTTCTACCACACGTGGCCATACATTTAACCTACATCTAACCAGCATATGTACAATTTCTTCTGTCTTCCATGGACGGGTTTAGAGATCTGTTAAACATTTAGTTCAGTGATTTATTGAACAATCAACTACAAGTGATTGTAGTGCTGGTAAAATACTAATCAAACCTCACATATGAATACACAGATTTTTAGTGCTTGTAAAATACTAATCAAACCCCATATATGAATGCACACATTTACATCTGTCCTATATGAACAGTGTTCGAAGTATGTTTTTCATATATTGTCATTAATGTGAGTTTACAAAGGTGAAATGTAATTCTGACTAGCCCACACATACACTGTATACACAAACACACACACACACACATATAATTAAATAAGCGCAGCCCTTTCCAAGGAGCACTTGATGTACTGGATTTGAACATAAGCTTGACCAGTAATGCATTAGTTATACAATGTATGTGATGCAACTATAACTTGAACTTGTAAAAACACTGCTTAATAACACACTAGTTTCTATAGCAGCTATCTTACCCTATCAAAGTAGGAGAGGCAAAATGTATTTAGATATACTAGTATATATAATATATACCACCGCCTTCTGAAGCCCATAAGCAATCCAGCTGGGATCGTCCTATTGCCGACCAAGAAGCTGCGACTTTGCTAGAAACTGCGACAACACCACATAACACTGTCCGACTTAGAGCTGTAGCAGCTCCCCATGCAGGTGATTTCCTATTAGCAACCCCAATGTCAGCAACCGGCACCCGTCTCACACCGCAGCCCCCTCCGAATTGCCGTGGCTCTCCGCCTCGCTGCCCCAATTCACACCGAATATAGGTGTATTTGCGGCGAGGCAGTGGCCGACAGGTACGGACGGCATGGTCTTCTCTGCCAAAGGACAGGAGGATGGCATGCAAGACACGGCGAGATTAACGACATTACTAAGAGAAGCCTTACCACAGCCGGTTGTCCAGCAGAGAGAGAGAACCCCGTTACCAAATGTCCCGCAACTGTGATGAGCCTGTAGGTCGCCCAGACGGAATGACGGTGAACCCTGGAAGAATGGTAGACAGTTGGTGTGGGAACTACACTTGCGTTTCAATTTTAGCCAACACCTATATTGACTTCAGTGCTACACAAGCAGGAGGAGCTGCCAGTCACCGGGAAGCAGCCAAGTAACGTAAATATAGAGTCCTTGAGCACCACTACAATTTTGTTCCCTTTGCCTCAGAGACACTTGATGCCTGGGGGTAAAAGTGCTGCAAGTTTTTTGAAGGAGCTGGGGTCCAAGCTAATTGAAACAACTAGAGACCCTAGAGCTGCCAGTTACTCACTACATCCATGGTTCCTGCCCGCCATCTGAGGAGCTGGAGGAGCTCTACAACTTGTGACAAGTAGCCTTGTACCCTGCATGTAACCAATGTTGTAACCCTATTTGTGTAATGAAATTTTCAAATAAAGTTAGATATATATACACACATACCCAAAAAATAGGGGTGGTAGGAGAAGAAAATATCAAAGTGTTCAGTGAGGATCCACAAGGTCTTATCTGAGTACTCTTTATTTTCTTCTCCAAGGCTATGGGTCCCTACACTTGCACCAGAGGTGGTACCCCTTCTAGGTTTAAAAAAAAATATATATATATATATATATATATATATATATATATACATTATATACTGTATATATATAATATATATATATATATATATATATATATATATATATATATATATATATATATATATATATATATATATATATATATATATATATATATATATATATATATATATATATATATATATGACAGTGTAAGACCACGGAGGAAGAATTGAAACAGGAATTTCCTTAAATACTTTTGTATATTAATACATCTTCATTTGCTTAGTAGCAAATGTTACTCACTGTCAAAAGCATTGCCTAACGCTGAAATAAAACCACAATATAGTGTGTTTCGGTGAAAATATGAAGCACATTTGGAACGGGAAACAATGGTTAAAATGATAGTCATTTATGGGTTAAAATTTGCATGACAACTGATGCTTATCATTCTAACCAATGTAAATTTATTTGTGGATTTGCAGATAATTTGTAAACTTGTGAGATAAATATAGTACAGTATATGTAAGTGTTGTGAGGCGAGTCATATCGGCCGATTCAGTGATTTGACAAACGTCAAATTTGAAGTGATTTTAGTCAGCTCTGACCTGAAGCGTTTGAGCCCACCTAACATGAAGCGTTGGAGCCTAAGCTATTGTAACCGATGCCCATTGGTCCGAGGCAGTTTCTACTCTGCGCAGCTTTTAATTTCATTAAAACACAATATTTTTTACACTTTAGTTGATAGCGTGAAAATTACGGTGTATTAATTGGAAGGAAGACTTGTTCGAAAGGAAATTAGTGTTATTCATTTATGTCTGTATTCGATTATACATTCTTTGAAAATCTCGTTAAAAATAGTATTTCGCTGAAACTAACATTATTCACGTATTACCTACCAAGTTAAAAAAATAAGACAAATTAAAAGAGAATAAACAACGAACAGTGTTGATTTACATTATATAAAAAGTAAATAAAATCCTTCAACTGTTCTAGAATATGACAGAGGCAGCTTTCAAGGGCAGTGCAAGTGTTTTAATTAGAATTAAGAGCTATTCTCCTTCAAGGTCAACCACACGCACACACACACACTCTGTACTACTAGAGCAGCGGATGCTACAAACGACATCTCGAGCGCTAAGCTGTGACTTCAACACATTCTCCTACAGGTGTACGATTTCCGGGCCGGAGCTTGCAGGCACAACTTAAAACCAGGCTACAACCCATGTACCCTGGTTTTAGCGCTGTCTCACTGACATCCGCACAACACATCCCTTCCCCCCTCATTCCCCTCATAACTCCCCTTCTCGCCCTCTGTTTCCCACAACACCCCTTCCCCCTCCATCTGACCTCCCACAATATTCCCCCATAATACCCCTCTCCTCGCTCTTCATAACACCCTTCCCTCTGAACCCCTCGCAACACCTCTCCTTCACCACACTTCCTCCCCCTTCTTCTCACTGCGTCATCAACCTTCCTCAAGATCACTATAACCCCTCCGGGGAAGTTTCGCGATAACGTGATCATCACGTGACTTGGGTATGACTTGTGCAAGGCCGGTGTTGCTCCAGCACCCACTGCTGCCTTCCTTGCGTACTCTCACTCATTCTTCATATATATATATATATATATATATGTCGTACCTAGTAGCCAGAACACACTTGTCAGCCTACTATGCAAGGCCAAATTTGCCTAATAAGCCAAGTTTTCCTGAATTACTATATTTTCTCAATTTTTTTTCTTATGAAAAGATAAAGCTACCCATTTCATAATGTATGAGGTCAATTTTTTTTTATTGTAGTTAAAATTAACGTAGATATATGACCAAACCTAACCAACCCTACCTAAC